GCCCTGCCGTGGCTCGGTGTCCTTTATCCCCTGGCTTTTCCAGATCCAGAAGCTGTGTGACCGGGTGGCTTCTTCTACTTTGCTGGATGACCGGCGGGATGCTGTCCGTGCGCTTAAATCCCTGTCGAAGGTGGGTACCCAACTTCCCCGAGAGCCGTATGGGTTTCTGTAGCTTTGTGATGTGTTGCATTAAAAAGCTCTGGAGTCTGCGGTAGAGCATTAACTATTGGGTTTTTCTGTGAACAGAAGTACCGGTTGGAGGTGGGCATACAGGCGATGGAGCATCTCATCCACGTCCTTCAGACTGACCGGTAAGCGTGCCGCTGACTTCTGGTGGCCACCTCCGGCTGGAGCTGGCGAGTACAGACGTGGTTCTGTGTGCTGACAGCTGGAGGGAGCTGAATTTCTAATGGCTCTTCTGCCCCAGGGGTTTTTGGTGATGATAAACTTGATTGGAGGTGAAAAGAAATGTGGATGGGAGGGACAGAAAGACCTATGTAGAGTTAAGATGTGTCTCAGTGTCTTACCGAAGTGTCTTAATGCTCCCACGCTGTCAGCGTCCACCACTGTAGATACAGGACAGGAAACCCTCCAGTGCTTGGCTTTCACTCCTGTGGTAAATCCCAAGTCACCATGTTAATGAAATAAGGCACTTGAAATAACCCAAGTTAGTGTGGTGTTGGACAAAAGGTGAGCTAGGCAGAATCGGGAGGAAATGAACTGTCAGCACATGTTTGTTTTCTCAGATGTGTCATCAAATGAATTGGCAGAAGAAATCTGTCATGGGGAATAGTGCAGGAGCGTGTATGGGAGGGCTCAAGTTCATAGAGCAGGACTCCATGCAGGAAAGGCTGCTGTTGGGTGACACCAGTGTAAATACTGCATGTGGACTGGGCTGTAGGGTTTCTTTGCTGTCTGTCTCTTTCTGCAAGTGATCCCAGTGCCGTACTGGATGGCACTTGGGTGGTGTAACCTGGGACCTGCTTGCAGTGCTCTGATAAAAATGGATGTTTGGGCTGCGTGCGACTTGTGATGGGAACAGTGAAGGTGACGGGAGTAAACGTCACTGCCGTGGAGGGGAAGCCCTCAGAAAATCAGGTCAAGGAGCCTGCTTTCATCCACTTATCTGTTCTTGGCCAGGGCTGAACTTTGAGGAGGGAGGCGGGGCTCTGCTGATCTCCTGTCCTTTGAGGTGCCAACACAAACCCTTCAGGGTAGGGACTGAAGGACTTTTCTGTGCTTTTGGGCTCTCCTGTCCCTTCAGAAGTTGCGTGTGTTGTGCTATCATGGCCATATCAGTGTGTGCCCATAGGGGTGTCCTTTGGACCTTTCCAGTGTCCACTTCAGGTGTCCTGAAGCTTCTTGTGGGAGTGGAATATGCTCATTTCTTCCTCCTGTTCTTCAGCTTTTCTTTTCCACTTGAGCTGCTTAAGATGATTTTTAAGCAGCAGCAATGAAGCTTCAAAGAAAACAGACGTCGGTGCTTGACTCAAGTTGTCTTCTCACATGTCACTGTTTATGTGAGTGACTCACACATGCTGGTCCTGTGCGCTGACTGTGTTGCTGTGAAGTTTAAGGTTACAGAAGGTCTCTGATTTGTTTAGAAACAGGAAAGGACCAAGAAGACAGCATGCTGGTCAAAATCCTCACTTTGGTTTTCCCCTCTAGTTCAGCCTCAGGGAACTGTCCTTTTTCAGTGAACATGAGTTTGGCCTGAACATGTGAGTGAGCTCCTGAGGCGCAGCTTTTTAGCTGTGACACTGCTGGTGGTTATCAACTGACTGACTGCAGATGTTACACACAACTGTCTGAGCTCTCGGGTGTACCCTGTCGTTACTGTGATTTTTGTGCATCAGATTGTGAACGGAATCCATGGGATTCACCTCAGTTCCCAGTGAGCAGAGGCAGGACTTGGTTGGGCTGTATGGGGTAAGGCTTGATCTGCTCTCCTGCCTTTTTTGGGTGGAAAGAATTGCAAGGAGGAGCCGGCAGCAGGCACGGGTCTGAATTTGCAGAGCCTTGGTGCTGGTGTACAGAGCGCTGTAACGTGAGAGCAGTGACAAGTGCAACACCCTGTCCTGTTACGCATTTACCAGGGATTAATGGAGCAGTTCAAGATGCACAACTGTTTGATCTTCAGCAGCATTTGTCCTGCTGGAATGTGTAATAGCAATGTGAAAAATTGAGGCAGCTCTGCTGGTAAGAGATGATTATTTCCTAATGCAAATAAAATAAGCTCGTTGTGAAATCTGTATCTAACCAGAAAGCTATTTGCCTTTAAGACCTTCTCGGGCAGCTACGATAGCACAGCTCTTATCTCTTCTGTGATTTCTATTAACTTTTATTCATGTAGTTCTTCAGTCAAAAAGTAGCTGTCTTCATCCCCAGTGCATCTCCTGATGTTGGTGAATGGGTTGTTTGTGCCCTTGAAATGTGAAGTGCTCAGCACAAGCACGGCGTTGGCTCTGCAGCAGCAGCTCTTTGCTTCCTTCCATTTGCAGGCTCGTTTCTGTGCTCATCATTTACCTTCAATGTAGTGAATCACACTCTTCTTTAGCTGTGTTGTGAGCCATGCTGGTATCTTAATTCTGAAGCTGATAGTGTGAGGTGAGAGGCATTTATAGCTTCCTCTCCTAACTGTAGTAGGAAGAGGGCCTGCTTTGCAGCTCTGTGTCCTGCCCGGGCTGAGACAGTGGGATTTAAAAACTTCTACAGCAAACTGACTTCTTTGACTGGTTTTTCAGCTGTGTGTGTCAGCCAACCTGGAGCCTGATAACACTCCTGCTGAGTTAGCCTTTAAATGTTCCAGCCTCTCACACACACCAGTGTTCTTATGCCATGTGTTTATTTTGTGATACAGAGTAGGAACTGTGATCTACTAGAAGAGCTTTCCTGTTCCTGACGTGCTGTCTGGCTGCTGCCACATAACACCAAACTGGCATAGACTGCAGAAGAGGCCAGGAGCCCTTCTGCTGGTGTGGGAGAGGGCACCAGAGTGAGAAGTTAACTGCATCTTTAACTCCTTTGGTACTACTTACATGTCACACTGAAACTCCTTGCTATTTCTAATAGTTCAAAGCCTAATATGAGTGTAAGAAATTGCTCTTTTCTTTTCTCAAGGCTCAAACTTCAACTATTTATGTGCTACTAGTTTTTAGGGGTAATAAAATGCCCTTCTTTCCACTCCTGCTGTCACTGATGACCTGATAGGAATGCTATGCTTCTTGTGACAGCAGAGACGATGCCTGTCTCTGTTCTGACAGTGAAATGCTGTAAAGCAGACAAATAGGTAATAATGTTTTTGAGGCATCCTACCTGGGCAGGACAGTATGTGGGTGCTTCACTGCCGGATGATTTTCGGCTGCTATTGTTGGTGAGCCCATGGGTTGCTGCCCCGATGCTCTGAGTGCCACAGCAAAGCACTGCTGGCAGAGGGAGGATGCCTTTGCTGTGCATGAAGGCTGCATCTTTTATGGATGCACGAGAGACTGGAAGTCCATTTCTCAACTGATGTTCACTGCAGAGCAAAAGCTGCACGGGTTCAGTCCGAATGGAATAATCAATGAAGTGTAGTAAGCGGTGAGCAGCTGATGGTAGCGAGGCAGCGAGCAGCAAAGACTGGGACGATGCTGCTGTCCCTGTTTTGTGCTGCGTGTGCCTCTCTGGACGAGAGAAGCAAGGCCTGGTTTTCCCACATCTACATCACATTTGCTTATTCTTTTGTAGCTGCTCTGATTTCCCTAACGAGGGCAAGGAAAAGCAAGGCTGAGACTTGGGTTTGTTTTTTTTTAATTTAAGTCTCCAGGAAATAATTTCTGTGCTTTTCAGATGTGGAATTGTTTCAGTTAGATGAAAAGAAAACCACAGGCTTTGTAGTATTGCAATGAAGAACTAAAATGACTAGAAAGGAACAGCATAAGCAGGCTGGGAACCTGAGCATGCTGGCTGCACAAGAGCATTTACGTGGACTAAAAGCTTCCTCGACTTGCTTTCACTAACAGAGGCCTGGCAGAGGAGGAGGTATTTTTCCCGTTTGTTTCCATTCCAGGCCAGTTTAAAAGCAGGTGATATCAAGTGAGTGACACACGCTGAGGAAAAACACACATGTCCTGGGAGGACATCAGCAGGACAAGGACTTAAGTCAAAATTCAACACCAAAGAGGAAGCTACACTGACACCTGATTACTTCCAGCTTCTGATTTGGAGTGAGAGTGGCAGGAAGGGAGGTGATGTGTCAGTCAGACAGCTTGCTAAAGCCCTTGTTGCAGTGATCCAAGATGTATAGGTACGGACTGCTCCATTTTCCAAGCTGGTGGATCACCTTCAGGCATCTCTAGTTCTCTTGGTTGCAACAACTGCTGTAGGTCTGTCACCTGTAATTAGTGGGCTGACAGAGAGCTGCCCTCAATTAGGGCTGGGCTTTTCAGATGGCTGGTTGGACAGGTTGGCTGTTAGATCTCTGCTCTGAACTGCTTCTTAAGATGTGAATTTATCTTTGGTGTGGAGGCTTTACTTTGTGTGCCTCAGAGATCAGAGAAGGCAAATACTTCCAGGTTTGAATAAGATCTTGTGTTGATAGCGAGCTCTTCAGATGCTTGGGCAGGACTTGAAAATAGCTGCCAGGTTTGTCCCTCTGCATTCTGAGTTGGCTGCCTGTGTGATGTTAAGTTTTTCCCTTTGTTTTTTGAGCAGCTGTGTATTTGTTCCCTGGTTCATGAGCCACCAAGTGAGCAGCAGAAACTCTTGTGCTGTGTCGTTGTTGTAGCGTGGGATTTAGTGACTGTTTGGCCTTTGCGATACAGAAGAAACAAGTCTCTTAAGGCTGGGCTTATTAAGAGAAGAGTCTTGGTGTAAGGAGGTGAACCAATGCTTTGGGCTTGGACTGGCTGCATGGAGCTATCAACCTCTTAATAACCGGGTGTAGTCTGGGTTGGTGACACAGAGCCTGGTCTGCCTGGGAGAGTCCCTGGCTGTGGTCACAGCAGCCAAGAGCAGCACAAGCTTTTGCCCCTGGTTCTGACTGATGGGGTAGTGGGGAGAGTTTTTCCTGTGATGCTGCTGGTGTTTGTCTGAGCTGTCTTGGGTGGCTTTTTGGGAAGGGGACCTAATCCCTCCTGCAGATTGCTCCTGTGCTTACAGTGAAACTTCCTCTGGTCATCCTGTGTCACCAGAGCTTCTGGATGTGACTGCCTGAGGAAATGGAGCTGGGAAAAGGAGTCTGACTCCATCTGGGGACCAGACAGCTCATGATTACATGGTATAATACAACATCTGTCAACATCAGTCTTTCTCGCTTGCTCTAATGCTGCAGAAAGGGAACTGCCTGTGCAGAACATCAGTGTTGTAAGAGGAGTAGGAAATAAGTCATTAAAGAAAAGTTGTTCTTTCATTTGCAGTTCAGATTCTGAAATAATTGGCTATGCCTTGGACACTCTCTACAATGTGATATCAAATGACCTAGAAGAGGAGGAGCAAGGTAAGCACTTGGTAGTAGTAGTTGAATTGATTGTGGGGGTGCTTTACCTGGTGGTTTTGTTCAAATGATCAACTGTAATACTACAATTTAATCATGCTGAGACTTGCTTTGTTGTTTGTATCTATTACAGCAGTGCTAAAAATCATGTTTTGCATAGCTTGCCTTGAAGTAATACTGGATCTCTTGCTTAGTCACTTTAAAAACGATGTTCTGTGAACAGCAGCCAGGTTGGAATGGGATCATTCCTTGGTGTTTGTAAGCAATCAAGTCTTTCTCTGCTCTTGGGAAGGGGTAGTTCTGTCTGTTACTGGCAAATGGGACACTGTCTGATGATTTAACAGGGATGTTGAGAGAGAAAATCTCAGGTGCTTATGCTAAGGTGGCTACGTGTAAGTGTGAAAATCTTTTCCAGCCCTGCTGTGGCATTTTAGAGCCTCTGCCTGTTCTTGCCCAGGTAGATGGAGGAGCAGACACTGCACAGCTAGGCTGTGAAACTCCCTGTCTCTCCTGCCTTCATGGTATTTTTGAACGCCTTTCTTGGTAGGCCATCAAAACTGGTTTCAAAGGCCAATGAAGTGCTTGCAGCTGTTAAAAATAACCACGTATTTCAGTGAAACATCAGTAGGCTGAAGAAAATGACAGCAGTAACCCAAATTACGCTTGGGCAAGAAAAGTGTTCTTAAAGCTAAATACATGAACTGGAGCTGTGGGTTCCCATGCTGAGGAAGAGCCAGGAGCCAGCCAAGTAAACCAGCTCTGGAGTATAACCTTTCTGGGCTCCGGAGGGGTGAATGGTGCAGGCCTGACCAAGCTGCCTTCCTCTGAGCATCAGGGATGTGTCTGAGAACGGGGATGGGCTCTGCCTTTGACGTTTCACTCATGCTTTGTGGTGGGGGTTGTTTGGAAAACCACTTCTCCTATTTGCAAATCAGGCCTTGGATTAATCTAAGCTAAATGGCCGTAGACTTGCTGTCCAAGGCTTTAAGAGGAAAGTATCAACAACAAATAAAAAGGATGCAGGGTGTCCATCCTGCTTTTGGGTGAATGAACGTGGAAATCCATCGCTCCAGCCTGTCCAAAAGCAAAATGAGATGCATTAATAGCATGTGAGCGGAAGCCTACATTTTAAGTCTGCTGTGCACCTCAAGAATCTTTCTAGTCCTTGACAGCCCTTGTATCTCATATTTCAGTTTCTATTACACATAGTGGAGTGCAAATGCTCCTGGGAATGGGTGAAACAGGAGGCTATGGTGCCACTGGAGCTGCAGGCTCTTACCCGCAGTATTTAGGTATTACTTATATCCCAAGAAGCAGCCTCACGGTGTTTCTTCAAAGCTCCTGAAGTGATAACCTTATGGCAAGTAGGGCAGGGTTCTCAAGATGAATGCATTTCCACCAGGATGTTGATGGTACTGCACAAGGTGATGCCCTTCCGTGGTGCCTTCTACAGCAAATCCTTGAGTAGCTGCAAGAGACTTGCAAGCTGACATCCTGCTGTGATATTTTACTCTGCATAATTCTCACATTGTTGCTTTGCTTCCTTGCCCTTCTTGTGAATTCACTCGACCTTGCTGAAGGAGGTTCTGAACTAGATCAGGGGTTTACAGTGCTGCTG